AATAGGAAACGTTTAGAGGGATATGGGCCAGGAGCAGGCAGGTGGGACTAGTTTAGTTTGGGATTATGTTCGGCATGGACTGGTTGGACCAAAAGATCTGTTTTTGTGCCGTATGACTCTATGACTCTATGAAGTGCAGTCACTATTGTTGCATGAGAACAACAGCAGTCAGTTTGCATGCAGCAAGTTCCCATGGGTTACGATCAGATAGCCACTAAATAATCAGCTTCTTTTCTGTCGTTGGTGATGGCTCAATGTTGGAAATAATGCTGGGGAGAACTTGCCTGCTGTTGATCAGTTAGTGCCATGGAATTTTTGACATCCACCTGAGGGCACAGATAAGAACTCCATTTAACATTGTATTGAATAATGGTATATCCAACAACACAGCATTCCGTCAGAGACAAGATGATTTCCCAACAAACCAAGACTTACAGAGGAGTATCCAGGATGTGAACGTCCTTGCTTCAAAGTTTGCCCAAGTGTTAGCTTAGTTCTTTTATTCCCACCCTATTGTCATTCACTAATGGTAGGTGTGCCTGCCTGACTTGGTCAGAAGTCACATGATACCAGGTTATAGTCCGACAGGTTTAGTTGAAATCACAAGCTTTCAAAGCGCTGTTCTTTCATCAGGTAAAGACACTTGCTCCCCATCTCTGACTGCCAACATCCAACCATCAGAAGCTCAAAGTCGCATGAATTTAATCTAGCTGCCCATTTTATTTCACTCATGGGACGTTTCTATCGCAACTGGGCTAGCATTTATTGCTCATCCCTAGAGGGCCTTGAGAAGGTGGTGGTGAGTTGCTTTCTTGAACCACTGTAGTCCATGAGCTGTAGTAGATGCTGTTAGGGAGGGAGTTCTAGGATTTTGACCCAGCGACAGTGAAGGAATGGTGATATATTTCCAAGTCAGGATGGCGAGGGAACTTGCAAGGGTTGGTGTTATAATGCATCAGCTGCCCTTGTCCTTCTAGACAGGCAGGCAGGCAGACTGCCAAAGGAATATTAATGATGACTTGCCATTAAAATGGACCTAGTCTCCAAGCATAGCTCCCAGTCAAAGGCGTAGACCACACACTACTTTTTACCTGGTGTCTAACCCCTCCACAACTTTCCTGCACAATTTTACACACACTTCACACTGTGAAACCATGTATCAATTATTATTCAGGCTAAGAATTTGACTAGATTCCATTTATAACACTGCGCATGGTAGCTTCGTAGAGAGGAGAAAAGCAACTCAGTAAGGATGAAACAGATTCAGAGTTAAATCATTTTTTACAAATGTAAATCGTAATGTTAAATACAGAAAGGTCTGTCTGTCGAAATGCATAAAATAAATTCAGAGGCAAAAGTCTCATTCATCACGAACCAGCTATCAATTTGGAGAGCATTACATCCTCAACCAACGATCGATTTGCTCAGCAAATACTCCAGGGTGAAGTCACGTTGAATACTAAGTGTTTTTGGATGCAACAAAAACTTGTATTGAATTGCAGTTCAGGCACAATTGGTTAGCTGTCATTTTCTTGCTATTCTCATTTTAACAGCTGAAGTTTAGTATCAGAGCCAGATGAGGCCTTTGAGCCCATTGAGACTGTTCTGCTATACATGGCTAATCAGTGTCATAACTCCGTCCATATAACACATATTTTAGACGTAAATTCTTACTGCCATTAATCAAGCTAACATCTATTGCTTTTTGTGAGTGAAAGCTCCAGACTTCCATTAATCTTTCCTTGATGACATATTTTCATAGATGTGCAGGTTAGGTAGATTGGCCATTCTGAATTGCCCTGTAGTGTCCAAGGATGTGTAGACTCTGTGGATTAGCCATGGTTAATGCAGGATGATGGGGTTAGAATGGGGGAGTGGTTCTGGGTGGGATGCTGTTTGGAAGGTTGATGCAGAATCGATGAGCCGAAATGATTTCTTGCTATTGAGCAACCAGTCAATTAATTTGAAAACACTCAGAGAACACCTTAAATTGCCCCTTAATCTTTTAGATTCCAGAATAAGGGGATTCTAAAACAAGGGGTCACAATCCGAGAATTAGGCCCAGACCGTCCAGGAGAGATGTTAGGAAGTACTTCTACACAGAAAGGCTGGTAGACATTTGGAACTATCTTCCACAAATGTCAGGGGATGCTGGATCCATTGTTAATTTTAAATCTGAGAAAGATAAATTTTTGTTAAGCAAAGCTTTTAAGGAAAACCATAAAACTATGTTTCTGAGCTTAGGCTCTGTTAAAATGGCTAGCATTCGTTCACATTCTACATTCACTTCAACCAGTCAGCGTGAATGAGACTTTGAATGGTTCAAACAACAAGCTGGATTTATTTTGATGGGCTGAAAGGCCTTCTTCTGTGCTGTAGATATCTCTGACTCCATATATTGCTTGGCAACAAAGCTGGAACAAAATTTAATTTGCCTTGTTAAAGTTCATGATCAATTTATGACAAAAGTGAAGAAAGCTCACTTAACCAAGCATTGAATACAGTCATTATTGCATGAAGCTAAATGCATAAACTAAGATCAGAAAGTAATCTTGTGTTGACAAGCAAATATCAAGAGTAATAATACATTTTATTAATAGTCTGAGAGTACCAAAGAACAAAGCATCTTTCACAGAAACTGGAGCTTCTCTTTGTAGTCTGGTATTGATGCAGCAGAAAGCTCATTTCCCTAGTATAAAGGCAACATACAGATGCAATAAATAAATATCCTCTTGTATGGCTCGCTGGTGGAAACTCCATGTACCGTGTACCGCATGACACTTTTCATTGGACTGGCTTATTGGATGTAAAGCTTTCAGGATCTTGTGAGACCTCAGGTGATATAAGTGGCCACCAACTCTACATTTGTATAAAGGAAATAAAAGGACAATCTTTTTTTTTTAAAATCAGGACGTTTATTTTCAACTCAAAACATTAATGCTCTTTCTCTCACCACAGATGCTGCCAGACCTGCTGAGTTTTTCTAGAACTTTCTGTTTTCATTTCAGAATTTCCAGCATCTGCAGAATTCCGTTTATAATAAGCAAGAGGTTTGTAATGTCGCTGAAATGTGCCTGGAAGTGTGGTGGAGGCAGGTTCAATTGAGGCATTTGAGAGGGGACTGGACGATTATTTCATGGAAACAAAATGCAGCGTAACGGGGAAAGGGTAGGAGCCAAAATGCTGAGAGAGCTGGCACAGACACGATTGCCCAAATGGCCTTCTTCTGCACCATAACGATTCTGTGATTGGGAGATGTGAAGTAAAAATAGAATGGGAATAAAAGCAGAAAGTGCTGGGGAAAACTCAGCAGGCCTGGCAGCACCTGCAGACAGAGAAAAATGATTAACATTTCAACTCCATTTCGACTTCAGAATCGAAGGGGTTTGAGAAAAGTGATGAGTTTTCAGCTGTTTTGAAAAGGCAGAAGGAGAAGCAAGGGCAGCAGAAGGTAAAGGTGCTCCAGAGGGAAAAAGCAAAGGGAAAGCAGAGTGGGAGGAGGCTTGTGTGGAACATGAATACCATATAGACCAGTTGGGCCAAATAGCCTGCTAGAGCTATACATTCTTGGGATGTTCAGCAATCTATAAAGTGCTATATAAATGCAAGTTGTTGTTGAAGTTCACGAGAATTTGTGTGGCCTGTTGGTCATGATATTCTCTCCAATGAAACAGATTTCACAAACGGGAACTCGAGGAAAGGAACAGCCTAGGGTTATAGTCCCTTTGGCGAGGGCACTGTTATAAAAGAGAAGAATGTAAAACTGAACATGGCACAAGTTCCCCATCCCAGGCCCCAAGAAGACTTTCCACATCAAGCAGGTGTTCACCTGCACATCTGCTAATGTGGTATACAGCATCCACTGTTCCCATTGTGGCCTCCTCTACATCGGGGAAACCAAGCGGAGGCTTGGGGACCGCTTTGCAGAACACCTATGCTCGGTTCGCACTAAACAACTGCGAACCATTTCAACTCCCCCTCCCATTCCTCAGACGACATGTCCATCCTGGGCTTCCTGCAGTGCCACAACGATGCCACCCGAAGGTTGCAGGAACAGCAACTCATATTCCGCTTGGGAATGCTGCAGCCCAATGGTATCAATGTGGACTTCACAAGCTTCAAAATCTCCCCTCCCCCTACTGCATCCCAAAACCGGTCCAGCTCGTCCCTGCCTCCCTAACCTGTCCTTCCTCCCAACCATCCTCTCCTCCCACCTCAAGCCCCACCCCCATCTCCTACCTACTAACCTCATCCCGCCCCCTTGACCTGTCCGTCCTCCCTGGACTGACCTATCTCCTCCCTAACTCCCCACCCACACTCACATTTACTGGCTCCATCCCCGCCTCTTCGACCTGTCTGTCTCCTCTCCACCTATCTTCTCCTCTATCCGCCTCCCCCCTCTCCCTATTTATTACAGAACTCCCTTCCCCTCCCCCATTTCTGAAGAAGGGTCTAGGCCTGAAACGTCAGCCTTCCTGCTCCTCTGATGCTGCTTGGCCTGCTGTGTTCATCCAGCTCTACACCTCGTTATCTCAGATTCTCCAGCATCTGCAGTTCCTACTATCTCTATGGCACAAGTAATATTTCTGCTGTGATCTTGGAAGCAGTGCTATTTAAACGATTTCTTTTTCTTTAACTTTAAATGAAGTCTAAATATAAGAGATTAGGAGTGCTCTCCATTCAGCTCTTACAGTATGTTAGCTGACTTTTGAGTTGGAATGCCTTCAGTAGTGTTTTAAAAATAAAAATCAACTGCCAGAGGTCGAGATGAAATAAAAACAGCAGAGAACTGTATTTTCTCTGAGCCAATTTATTAAAGGGATCCTTTCTAAAAAAAAGATAAACGCTTTCAAAGGAAGGGGGAGAAAATTTCAGAGAGTTGTTATGGGAATAAATCACTGAGGCACCACAGTAGGCCTTCCAGCTCTGTCTGCTTGTATCAAGTGGAATTTCTATGGAATGACTGTATGAGTGACACACTGATCCTTTCCACTTCACAGGTTGTTGACTCCAATCTAGTGGCTTTTGACTGTCACTGGATCTTCATAAATGAGGTAATTGTTGATGTGTGGGGGGAATGAAGCAAAATTTGACCGAAGTTTTGCCAAGTAGCAATAGATATTATAATTACCTTTTTATCCCAGCGGTACAAAGGCTATGAATATATGAAGAGCACTGGGTCTCCATTGCTTGCTAACGATCCCTGTTATCTGATGCAAATTTAAAGGGACACCGTGGAATCTGGCAGATAGAAAGTGAATGGAGGGAATGTGAGTATATTTTATAATCCGTGGGTGAGTTGATTAGCAGCAGGAGCATGCTGAGCATCTTCAGTCCACCCTACCACCTGGGAGGGTCTGCTGGTTGGTTTCTTGTTTGGAATACAGGTCCCACTTTTGTTAGCCCAGTGAATACGTCACAGCAGTGACACTTAGCTTCATTCACAGTTTGGTTCCTTGGCAAAACTTCTTGTCGCCTGGAACCTGTCGTTAGAAAGCCTTTTGTCTGTTTGGGGTGAGTCACTTCTTGTTCTGAAGAGGCACTGCCATTTTTTTTTTGATCAGCACTCAGCTGTTAAAAACCGAACATACAGGTCTTAAGGAGCCAGGTTTACCACACAGCTGCCTAATGGCGAGCTTAATACGGTCAACTATTATTGAAAATAAATGCAATATTAAGGTGAATATAGAATGTAATATTAAGGTGAATAGAGAATAATAT